AAATTCCTCTTCTTCAGTCATATTCAAAATTTTTGACAGAATTCCTATGAGGAATGAGCGTAATGTCTAGGACAACTGGTGTGGTGGACACTACATGCAACACTGCTTGTAAGTTGCATGTAGCGGAACGTGGTATTAACGCTGTCAAAGTCGTCAGACGGGGGAAATTTCGATACGTTCGAAGCACATCAGAGGTAGAACGCTTGATGTTCAGAAGGGAAGACCGTTCGGACTGTAGAGTATGCAGTGGTACTGGTCATAATCACACAATCCTCAATTCTGAACATGAAATAACTGGGAGAATAGACATCTAACACTTAACACGGAGAGAATGTCAACAATTAAGAAGGCGGGAAGAATTGATGAATTCAGTCGGATGGCATTGCTCAGCCTGGCAGGCGTGGTCATCTATATTAATTATTAGCTTACGACGATTGATTAACAGGCTTTAATAACATTTACATATCTAAGCGAAACAAAATTGTTAAAACATCAAACTCTAGCAAATATAGCCTTTAAATGACGTAACTAGACATTAGCTAGCAATGTGAGCAAGGACTGAGTGGTTATCTGGACCTAATTGTTCATATTGTTTGATCGTTTAACGTTACAACCTGTCTTGAACTAAGGACTATCCTTTAATATCTTTTCTTCCGGCCACTGCCTGACTAATTTCCAGTTATTTAGTTCCATTGTCAAACAACGAAGGCAATACTCCGGAATCGTCAATTTTCTGCAATCGTATGGTCATTTTAGATTGTTCAAACAGTAGCAAACACATAATTATCTAAACTCTTTCATTTGTTCTGAATCGAGCGAGTGACAAAAAGGTCAGCAACACCAAGCACTCTTGGATTAGTTGCTATACTGCGTGTTTAAGCCGGATGCTTTTGAATCATTACTACTCATCATAAATAGCCTCACATATGTCAAATCCATTGAATGATCTAGACTTCAAGAATAATCCAGGAGGTCCCAATTATTTTGCTGGATGGATTGTCGTGCTTTTCGGTACCTCTTAACATGAGTGCATTTCACTAGATAATAGTAGTAATTTATCTTAAATATCAGTCTGTTAAATGAAGCATACCAGTTTACAGGCAAGATCAAATTGTTACAGATACAGTTAGGTTAATATTTTATGAGGTACATTGATCATAGCATTATGAGAGATAACACTTTTCACATATGAATGTAAATAATGTAAGTAAGACTTGTGTTTTCAATATAACAGTCGGTGCGCTTTGTGAAGGTTGAGTTGCGGAGTGTACAATGTTCGTGACAATTGAAGTTGAGTCATTTGTGGAGGAATAGTCAAGATATGGTTACTTAGTCTAATTCTCTTTTATTAAGATACTTTTCAAGCAAGAGCATTCTAACAGGTTAAAGAAAATAAGCATAAATAAGGTGGATAAAGAACTGTATGAATGAAGGTCGTTCAAAAAGAAGCTAAAAGTAGAAGATTATGTGTAGTTTTAAAATGTAGTTATGAAAACAGTATTCTGATACTATTTCATAGGTTCATGAGCAGGCTTCATCCTTGGCAAATTGTCTGATTATGCTTGTAATAGGATTACTCGGTAGGAAGTGAAATCAATTCAACGTCACATTTTATATAATCAATTAGCATCAATACCATTGGTTCGTGACAACACACTTGACCATAAAGAGCCGTAATTTAATAACACATTCTGCCCTACAAACACGGGTGGATTGAAGTTATCTCCCCACCTTCATGTTTGCTGGTCAGTGACGTCACCCTCCCTCCTTTTGTTATCTTAGTCTCCATTGTGTTTGTGGCATTTATGGATATTTCTTTAATCTAAGCTCCTTGTTTGGTGATGAGTCCAATATCTGGCAAATTCACACATTTACATACATATTTTAACATGGTAAGTTTTCTTTCTTTTAATATCGTTTCGTGCGCCAGAAGTCCACACCGTGTCTATTTCATTCCAGATTGCCAATCCATTCTGGAAACCAGGCACTTATGTGGAATCGAATAGTCATTAATCTTATTTGTTTTTTTTCATTTTGTACCTTACTGTTTTATACAGGTAGTGAATCAGTCTTTCAGGTTTGCCTGATTTTGATCATTGTTTTTGAAACAGATTCTTGTCTATTTTTTTACTTTGGGGCAACTCAAAAGCAGGTGAGTAAACACCTGATAGCTGGACAGAGAATGGGAAAATCGTACCTCACCAACATATATAAAAACATAAGCGATAGTTGCGGAAGAAATTAAATGCTACGAAATAAGATATCAAGCTAGTCAAGGAAGAGATGTTCATGGAGTGTCGTTGAATGCTGACGGAGTTGATCGTCTTTGATTGAAAGCCAAGCATTGAATGAATTAGTAATTCAGGACGAAGATGTTCTTGATAGATATGTTGATCGAATCGAACTTCCTACGGAAGTAGTTTCTAGAAGGAAACTAATGTAATAACTTAGGTTGATGAATTAGGAGTTGACCTCACACATCTAATTATATGCCAAAACAAAAGGGCCCAAGTATTTGTGGTGGTATCGGAACCTAGCCACACGACCTTTGAAGCCAAGCATATAACTACTGAAAACACTTATATCCAACAAATGACACGAAGAGACGGTTAACTATGGAAAACGAAGGAGGAACTTCAATTCAAACAGATGCCATCATTCAGCCTTGCAGGCGTTATCATTCTTGTGTAGCTTACCACTCTTATTCATATTAAATATATTGTCCTATTTCCAGCCTAAATGTGTTCTTCATCATATATTGGTGATTGTTACGATACGATGAGTCAGTGAAGACAATGACGTGACTTTCACGTAAGATCTTGTAGATCAGGCAGTTAACTCATAACAAATCTACAATTTTGCTATTAGGTCTATTATTAGAGCAGTACTAATGACGAAGTAGACTATAATTCTACATATTCATTCACTACCTTACTTTGTATGGACATTATACTTCCCACTATTTTATATTGAACGTCGAAAGGCTTTGTGCGTTCAGAAAAGACAACTCCACGTTTCAACTACTTTGCTCATATTCAAGGTAAAGATCTACCCATCACTAGTCGGGTTTGTTCCATCAATAAAAGGGAAGGAACTCAACAGTACGAAACGACCACAACCTAATGGACCAGCTTATGGATTGTAACTAACTGAAGCGCGTTGGTTGTCCTTGGATATGGCGAGGATCGATAAACTGTTCGATATTCAGTGACCCAACTGCCAAACGATTTACGTAAGGCCCAGCAACGATTCACTTGCCCTATAAAATAACTAATTTCATAAGCTGTAATATTTTGGTATTACCAAGACGTTTTTATCTAACTCTTAACCGCCTAAATTTAGTTGTTACAACAGCATCTAATCTTTTATCATTTAAAAGTATTGTAGCGGTAAATAAATTTCCAAAATAAATAGCCCTGTAAGTTTTCGACATTGGATGCTGACCATATGTTTTAGTGGACCCATCTAGCTGAAGGCGCTCAGTCAGGCATCCGCACCAGATCACGTGTCGTAACGCCGTGCTCAACATCAACTGCAATCGCCAGATTAGATCAGAGAATTCCGATATTTTGGTTATCGCCAAATATACTCTGTCTTTTGATTTCTCCGGGTGGTTACGGATTAAATTAGGTGTTACTGGTAGAAGCGTTATCAAACACTGAATACCTGTGTTATTTTCAGTATAATCAATTTTCGACCAAGTTCCATAGGCTCTGAGGGTGATTACAGACAGTGTTATTTCGCGATAATTATAAATGATCTGTTTTGTCCTTCAGTTTCAGAAGGAATACAGGAAGAACCATGTCTTTCCTTTATCATCAATGCTTTCTTATCACTTTGAAGAATATCTACGGGAAAAGATGATTTGTCAATTTTGTAAGGGAAATATGAAGTTGATTACACCTTATGGAGGCCAATACACATATAGGTTTATGTATTTACAACTGATATTTCATTTACACAATTAAATATCGATGTTTTAACATCCAGCTTGGACAAAAATCAATAGAAACTTCTGGTGATAACGTTAAAATTTTGAGGTTTATTCCACACCAAGGATTCCATGCAGAATTACTGGATGACACTTTGAGACTCTACAACGAAAGACTTGAGACTAAAAGCCATTTAACTTGTTTCAAATAAGACCGAAAACTTGGTAAATCGAGGAGAGTATTTGATGTCCCTACGGCATTACTGGGGATTTTAAAAGTATTATATAGCGTTCGAGTGGCTGGTGCCTATCAACGCGGCAAAGCGTGTCTACATTCACTTTGAGGATTCAAAGGTTAACAGGTACAACATAGGGGAAGTGTCATTACCCGTGGTCCGGTCTCATAAGGATGTAGGGGTGACAGTGAGTCATGATCTGAAGACGACGGCCCATTGCCATGAGGTCGCAGCCAAGGGGTTTCGAACCCTCTGAGCTTTAAAACGGCCATTCATTAAGTTAGATACTACCATGTTCACCACAGTACATACATCCTTAGTGAGAACTAAGCTTGAGGACTGCATTCAGGCTGCAAGCCCCTTTTTAAAAGGTGACTCGGATATCCTAGAAAACGTACAGAGGTCAGCTACCCTTTCAATTCCAGAACTTTGTGGTTTACCATACAAAGAGCGGCTTGAAAGGCTGAACCTCTTTACTCTGTCCTATCGCAGATTAAGGGGAGATCTAATTTTGATGTACAGAAAAAATGACTTATTCTCTCTTTTCCTTCCCACTAGATCGGGACATCTCAGAGGACATAGCACGTGAAAAGAAAAGCAAGGAACGAACAAAATACCCGTGGCATACAGGTTTTCACACCGAGTCATCAATACTTGGAACCTGCTGCCCGAAGCAGTGGTGTCCGCACCTTCTATTGACTCTTTCAGGAGAAGACTGGACAATCACATAACCATACTAGAAAAGGAATAATATAGGTCGCTGGCCTTCTATCCTTGCTACACAAATCTGAAATCTGATGTATTAATGAATCGTCAACTTCGAAGATGACCTTGTCAACTTTTAAAATGAGACGCTGGGCGTATGTTTGAAAGGCTATATGGGTTCACGATGCATTCGATCAACTGGCAACCATGTTTCGTCTTTCATTTATCCATATTCGCACTTAGATTGTTACTCCGGAGACCAATTTTTGAGTCCATTGTCGTCTCATACTTATTGTACGTATCTCTTGGAGGTTGGCGCTATCAACGCATCTTTATTTTAACTTTTCTCAGAGACCTCATGTAAGTTGTTTTGTTTTAGATAAAACTTTATGTCAGTACGAATTTTCGAAATATATTCATAGTGGTGAGACCATAATTTATGGACGAACTAACTGAATCTAAGATAACAGGTTTCAGATTTTAGCGCGAAATTCATACACTCGTTTGGCTAAATACTATTTCGGCATAATTGCTGATGTCGATTCGTGATGAAAACCCCTTGTCTAATTCCTAATTTAAACCTTTGACTCGCAAATCATAATTCTAATTACTCATACTGCTCTCTAACCCGCACGCGTTTCTGAAACGAGTGATTTGGTACTTATGATAATCTTTGCTTTTGTGTATTTGTTGCATCGCAAAGCACTCTTGGTTTACTATAATTTGAGGTGTTTTGGTTAGGGTTTGAAATTTTGCTAGACTTTGTCTTGTGGTACCTTATTTCTCATTGACACGTATTCATATTGTATTTTAAGTCCTAATCTGGTTACAGCGGTTCGCAGTACTTGTAAATGTGGACAACCAAATTGTATATTCCCCGTGGAGGAAGAAATGTAATGTGATGAGTGTAAAAAGGGATTCCATAATATGTATACCCATTAGGTCCCGTCGTGTACAAAAGATGCTTGAAGCCATACTCTCATTTTCTTTGTATGCTTTGCTGTACGAATAAGACGTTACTGATACAACAGGCTATGAGCCTGTTAATTTTGACCTGTAAAAAGAAAGGTGGTGCTTGCCCTGGTAACACGAGTACTGGCAGTGAGGAATATGTCAGTGTAGTCTCTGCTGTTACGTGACGCGTTAAACACTCGACTGTGATTGACGGAAAAGTAAAGTTTCCGTTAAAACTAACGAAGAGTGAAGTGCCACTTGGTATTGATATGGGTAATCGCACACCAGCAGAAATTGAAAACTGGGATAAAACCGTCACCGTTCCTAACAGTCCCGGTGTTGCTGTCCTGAGTAATGAAAAATGGACGGTAGTACGGTGAAAAAGAAGTGAAGGGAAAAAAACTATAAGCAGTACAAACTTCGTTATGAATTCACTGTTGAACTCCTATTCTGATTAAAAAATACACTACCGAAATTCGATAGTAAGACAAAACTCCACCCTGGCGTGGCTCATCGAATATTATTGGGAGTAATTTGCTAGAGTTAAACGATCCTGATCCCAAAATTAGACACGCACATGATCTGGGAAAGCTCGGAGAACTTATCTGTGGTATCTTACCAGATAACTTTGAAGGAGTTCAGGTCAAAAAATTTATAAGAATAGGTGATAGGACCGATGACTGTGTTGAATCCCAATCATATAGACTCCTTAAGTCAATCCTAGTTTTGGAGAAGCAACGTGATCTGTTAAATAGTGCTCGTAGTCACGACAATATCGGCATTCGAGTAAGACCTGAAGAAGATAGAAGATGAAGAGGAAGTCGGCACCAGCTGAACTAGAAACCCGTCGACCAAACGGTGAAGAAAATTTCCGATTAGTGGGTTTTCGAATAGTTAGATCTTGGGAGCGAATGCTAGACATAGGTATAGGAAAGGAGGTGGCGTCGTTTTATACATAGCCAGTAATATAAGTATCCGCTCCTTTGTTTGCGAATCCCATAATAGTGGAACTTGTGAAGTCATTAGCTGTGAGGTGACTATCTGATGTTGTACATTTATACTCGGTGTTATCTATCGCAGCCCAATCTGCTCACCTGATGACTTTATTTTACAGTACATTCAGCTATGGAGTGGAAATAACAGATGTTTGATATTAGGAAACTTTAATGCACCTGATATTAGTTGGACTGAAGTGGTCACGGTAGGATCTATGAACTCCCATAATAGTAGACTCCTGATAACGGTAATGGAGAATGCATTAGTACAGCGTGTATCCAGACCTACACGTTTTGGTGCAAACCAAGGTTCTTCTGAAGATACTACCAACCTAAATACTCTTCCACCGTTAGTGAATAGCGATCACGCTGTTTTGTCATTCACGTTTAGAGCTAGTGACATGGTATATAATGAGGTTAAGCCTCACTCCAATATATGGAAAGCTAACATATCAGCCATTCAGGAGTGCGCTGGTAAGATAGATTGGTCAGTAGATACTAGTTCATCAGCTGAAGTAGGGTTCATATTTAAAGGCAAGTTTAGTTAAGTTACATCCCCGTTTATACCATGTCTGATACCACTTAGACCATGGGTAGGAAAAAGCATTGAAATATGTTCATCTCTACTGGCTTAGAACAGCACAGATCCAGTTATTGTTAGATTAGAAATGCTTGTAAAGCGTTGATAAGTAAGATTAGACGGTCGTATGAAAACAATTGGTTAGATATTGTAAAAATAGTCCGAAACGGTTATTTTCGTATATAAGATGACGAACTCAGAGAAGTGATGAAGTTCCATTACTTTTGGTACAATAAAATCCGTTAATTTTGGCAAGAGATGGTGCCGGTGGTTCTGATGATATTCATCCTAGGATTCTGAAAGCCCTATTGGATGTAATTGCTGAACCTATAGTCATACTGTTTGATGTGACTCTGCGGCAGTCCGTACTGTCAAGAGACTGGAAAGATGTAATAATTAGTCCGGTGTATAAGACGAGGTGTAGAGATTTAGTTAGTAACTAATGGGAAATATTATCCAGATGGTTGTTATAAACTATGTGGAAGGGCGTAATCTTTTATCCAGGGAACAACATGGTTTTCGGAAAGGCCCATCCTGTTTGACAAGTCTGCTCGTTATAAGAGAAGATTGGTCTACGGCAAGAGGTCGAAATGTCCCTGTAGATGTAATTTTCATAGATTTAAGTTAAGCTTTTTATAACGTCTCCCATTCGGGTCTTAAGTTATAACTGGAAAGTTTTGTATTCCATTATGAGGTCATAGACTGGATAAATGACTTTCTCTATGTCAGGAGACAGGGTAAAGGTAAATGGAGCTCTTTCGTCGTGGGAATCTGTAAAAAGTGGAGTTCCCCAAGGCACAATCCTTAGTAATCTTCTCTTTATGTAAATGAATTACCAACTGTAGCAAAGTCATCCGTTCTACTCTTCGCCGATTACATAAATATTTGGAGACCCATACACAGTATGTCAGATAGAGTAATATTACAGGATGATCTCAACTCATTGGTGGCATGGATGGACGGATGTTCTCTAGAAGTGAATTCTAAGAAGAGTGTGGTGATGTAATTCAATAACTATGATGATTCGTATCACTACACAATACGTGGATTCGTGTTACCCAAAGTAATAAACTAAAGATTTAGGAGTCATAATAAGCAGCGATCTCAAAACTACGAGTAACTGTAAGGCTGCTGCTGGAAAAGACTATAGGGTATTATGGGCTATTCATAGGTCTTTTCAGTACTTGGATGAATAAATGTTTAGAGTATTATACTCGACTTTCATGAGACTGCATTCGGAATATGGGATTCAAGCAGCGAGTCCTTGTTTCAAGTGTGAGGCGGTTATGCTGGAACGAGTCCATCGACGAGAGACTAAAATGGTTTAATGTCTCTCTGGCCTATTTTATGAAGACAGACATCCAATATGAGCTAAAACCCAAATGTTAACAGTACTCAAGATGTATTGAAGTGTAAAAATCTGCCCATCACTCCCGTTGTATGTTCTTACCAGGAATCATCGTGCTGGTCTTTTTATTGATAGTGTCGCTGACGGTAATGATTATGATATTCGGTCGTCTTATAGTGCATATTATAGTCATTTTCGTAACTTATTACTTTCATTAACGTACATGGCATATTTTTGAGTTCTTTTAAAATTATGGCTTCACCCATAACCTGTTGTATTTCAGCATCGTCAGCTTATTTCATTCTGTGGCTATCAGTAAAAACGAATCAGTCAGTCACAAATTACCTTTAAATGTCAGTTATGCAGATGTGTTATATTTCAGGCACATCAGTCTGTGATTTATTTATTTATTTGAAGACAAATATTGATTCAAAGGGGCACCAAATACATATGCGCCATTCAATAACAATGAGAACGTGAAGAGATAGGGAATGTAAAGTTCGTATAAGAAAAACGAGAACAATAACGAACAGATTTTAGTGTATGATAGTGAAATAATAATAATAATTCTCCGTTAAAGAAGTTACGTTCATTTTTTATGAAGAAATTTACGACTGAATCGTCACTGGCTTCTATTCTGAGCCATACCTGATAACGTCTCTAACCACTGTGTTGCACCATCTCTAGGACAGCACTGTCTTTGTGATGACTTATAGCCTCATCAGTCGGCTCGATGTTTCCTAAAACTCAAGGTTACTCACTCGATGGATAATAACTGGAACCTGTGCACGTCCTTTACTTTTCAGATACAAAACTTAGTCACTGCCAAAATCGTATCAAATAACCTTTGTCGGTCTATTTTCATGGTGTAGTCCAGAGATATCGGTGGTATCAGGTGTCCGAATTTGGCGTTATGGTATATAATAAAGAAATTTGAACGCTTCCTACCCTTGGCAGACCAATCAATAGGTGATAAAGCCACCAGCGAATTTATTGTTTGTTGACTAATCGGAATTTGTGCTACTAATTGTTCCTTCTTTTTCCAACTTAATCGACCTTTCCTTTAGTTTCGTAGTTTAGATCTAAGGACTTTAATGTGTATTATCAGACCCACTTTTATATGTTCATCTATCCAGACATTGGGTTGGGAATTTTGTGTTTTGAATGTTTACAATTTGATGCACAATACGATTGTATTAGTCTGGATAATGAGATAATATTGTTTGTTCAATAGGGGACTACGATGCATACTCATGGTTCAGTTAAATGTTCTCTGGCTCCAATGGACGAAACGAACTTTTTCCGACATGTTTGAATATACTGTAAAAAAACGGGGACCAGAAAATGTTGCTATTTATTTTGAGGACCAAGTATGGACCTTTGGGCAGCTGGATGCGTATTCAAATAAAGTAGCCAATTATCTGGCGAAATGTGGTTTTAAACGAGGTGATATATTACTGCTGTTTATGAATTCGTGTCCGGCATATATTGGAATATGGCTAGGAGCAACTAAGGTAGGTTATCAGTTTCTTTAGAAGTTTATTTCGTGTTGTGGAAGTGATTTCTGTGATATTATGTCACTAATTTCATGTGTTACTTGGTAGTCATACTAATGTGTGTAGTTTAACCTACCGTAGTGTTTACTTTGTGCGTTTATAGTCTTCAAGGCCGCCACAATACACCTGAGATCATCGGTGTATGGCCTGAATGTCTTCTGTACCAAGTCAATGAACATTGGTGTTAAAAATGAACCCCTGATGTTTCACTAATTTCGAAGATTGATATTTCCTAGCTTCGGACTAAAATTTATTTTCATATATACGTGGTAATACAGCTATGGTTTAATTATGAAGTTCATCTAGTCATTTAGTAACAGTGAGGGCATCACCTAGATGCACTGTTTCAATAAAATTATCAGACAAAATTGTATCAGTAATCTGCTGGAAGTTTACAAGAGCAGTATTAATTCGGAAGGATAATCGATTGTTTTGGGAGTATACCGCGATATGTATTATTGCTTAACAATTCTCAGGGCTTAGAAATCACTTCTATTTAGAGGTAAAGATCCAAGTAAACTGGTTTTGCCGTAGTAATCATTATTTGGAATTTTTAACAGACTCCAAAGCTTGAAATAGACAATAGTGCTGCTTACTTGTAGTACTAAGACTAGTGGGGAGATAATCGCATATGTGTAATGAGCCATTTATCTTGAAATGATAGTCAAGGTGAGTAGTTTGTCATACTATGCTCCACTGAAGTTAAGCACTCTCAGTTTCTTATAGATCAACACTAGGAACTGGTTGTTTTTGACTCAACATAAAGAACATCAGATTTTAAGCACAAGTCTACTGACGTCAAAGAATAATAGACAATATTGACTTGGCAAAACAGAGAACTGTTTTAGCAGTTTTACAGGTTAATTTTCAAATTTAGTGTAGCTATTCTCTAGATTACTCATAACACACCTTAAAGATGGCAATAAAACTAGTCGGCAATTAGTTCAGTATATGCTAGGTGAGGTTTACCTGTAGAGATACGGAATATTTTACTTAAGTTGATAGGACATCTATTTAGTACATGCATCTAAGAACATCGGTTTCTCGTTAAGAATTGGTTTTGTTCAGAAAACATTTATTTACGCTCTTAATTTAACAGGTCGGTGTTGCGACTGGTCTGGTAAATACTAATCTTTGTAAAGGATCACTTATGAATTGTATTAAAACGCTGAGTGCACGTGGAATAGTTGTGGGTTCCTCTTTGAAAGAAACTTTTGAAACGGTCAATGAGTATAATGATTTATCATTAGAGATGATATGGTTAGTTGATGAGAAAAGAAGTTTACCAGAAACTGCCTATTCTAATTCAACTTCTTCAACGTGTAGCTGGAACATAGCACTTGCACAAGTTCCACATTGTGCTCCAATTCCACTTCCACGAATTGATAATCTCCGTGAACATTTGATCTACGTCTATACCAGTGGTACGACTGGTTTGCCTAAGGTAGTTTAAAAGCTATGTTTACATATTTAATCGTTTTCGTTATTTCATTTTTATTACAGAATGAAATGATTTGTAACATGCTAGCTTCCATAACCATTCAGTGCTTTATCACAGCTCAGTTTTCGACTTGGCTTTCTTTTTTTTGTGTGACGGTATTCATCGTTAATCAGGTTCTATAACATAAATGTATTTACTACCGTCCAGATGTAATTAAGTTTTATACATTCCCTTTTTCTCTATAAATTTTTGTTAAAATCTAATGTAGATTCACTTGTTACTGGATTATTTCCATCAGCTCAAAATCTTAAAAGAATAATATTCAGAACAAAACAAGTGCATTTCATATCAGGAAATTTTCGATTGAGTTTGGGGTTGACAAGTAGTTATAGATTAGTAAAGACTTTTATTGTGGAACGATTAAAATAGTCGTTCATATGGTTGTATATTTATAGACCAACTATATACAATATCTTGCTGTTTTTTTTTAAAAAAAATTTAATCACTTTAAAAGTAATTACTATTGACCATTTACATTTGAAGAAACCTTTAGAATTATGAGGTATTAAACATATTTTCACATATATTTACAAATAATGAGGAATGTGCTTGACAGTTAGATTTTATATTGAAAAAGTTATGTTCAATTTGCTGAAGCGGGTCAAGTTGTTTGCAATTCATTTAACTAGTTAAATTGTAATATATTTCTGATTAATAACTATTCTATAGATGAAAATAATCCATAGATAGGCTAAATAACTTAACATCGGGATTACATGTAATGGTAATTTGATTTAATATCTAAATATTAATCGATGTTTGGTAGAGGTTGTCAAATAGGTCTAAAAAGATAAATATTGAAAACTCAATAACTCATCCCCTTAAACTAAGTAACTAAAATTTTTCTACGATGAAAATTTAAAAAAATAACATGTAGATTTATATTGATCAGTGCTGGTACTTTACTGGTTCAGAGACTGCATTGAATTTCAAATGTACATGAGAAACACACCTCATACTACGGTCTGAATACATTTTATTTCCTTATTTCCAAGTTTACTATTTATTTATCACTTCATCTATATCAATACAGGCTGCTATTATAACGAAACTACGCTACACTCTATTGGTTGTTGGTGCTAAATACTCATTTGGTATTCGGCAATCCGATATTATATATGATCCACTACCGTTATATCATTCAGCTGGTGGAATATGTGGAGTTGGACAAATGTTATTATATGGTAATACAATTGTAATCAGATCGAAATTCTCTGCATCACAGTTTTGGTCAGATTGCGTAAAATATAAATGCACAGTGAGTTATTGCTATTATTATTATTATTTATTCATTTATTTATTTATTTATTATGTTTCAAGGTTTTCACATTTTTCGATATTTACTATTTTTAAATTGACAGTCTATTAGTCATTTGTTTGTTTCGCTAAACATTTTATTATTGATATCCCTAACTACAATGTTCATCTTATTTATACCCAGTTAGTCAATCATAAACAAAATAGAACCTATCAAATATGTTCATCGTTTGAAGTTATTAAACTACATTAAAACGGCGAAATGGCATTAAGATGAATACCAAAGTAGTAGTAGTAGTATCAGTGATATTAAAAAAATAATCAGGCATAGATAATGAATAAATTAACAGGATTAAAGGTATAAAATAGTTTTGAAACTTGGAATCTAAAGTCAGTTAAAGAGTGAGTGCATCTGAGTTGTATAATCTATTCTAAAGAATATAAACGGAATAACGGAAATTACACGATTATGGATCTTACGCAAATATTTTATACACAACGAGCAATGGTGTAATAAAGCTTTACTCGAGAACTCGAGGAAGATCGAAGAGAGGAAGACTGATCTTTACGAAAAAGCTTCATTTTTGAAAAAAAGAAATTGTACTAACAACCACTGCTGATTAAATTATGCCTGAATTACCTTAGAAAATATAATAGTTTACCTAATACGGTAATAAGATTTAAGTACTGATTAGGAGAGATGGACAAAAGTAGACTTGTGTTTGGTTTTTCCGTCAGTGCACAGATTGATACGGAAAGATGGTAATTTAAGTAATAGTAATAATGATACTTTTGGTAACCTCATGATCTACTATCTTATGACGAAACAAACTCTCTAAGTTGCGTTCAGTGATCTGACAAGGTTAAATATTCGTCATTCCATCATTTTTTCTTTATTGACAACCAGTTTTTGAAATGAAGATTAGTTAAAACCGTAATGTCATCACTAACCCATTCAACACGTGTTCCGAAGAACCTGAGGCTGCAAGGGACTAGGATTCTCAACAGTTCAATAGCCCGGCATTTACTTGATACCGGGCATACCATCGACATCTCGCACGCCTTTAAAATTATCAACAGACAAAGAAGTACGACTGCTCTCCGTTTCGCTTAAGCAATCGTGATAAAAAAACTTAAATCGGATTTATGTATTCAAAAAGAGACATTAATAAACCTATTATTACCCTGGTAATCCGATTTGTTTTTTTCGTTAATTGGGTTATTTTATTCATTTATTTATTTTAAAATATTTGTGATATATTCCTCCCCTATTACTTAATTCTTAAACCAACTTTTCATTCACACATTTCCGCTCACTTGATCCTCTTAAATTGTGTTAACTTTTCAAATTCTATTTACTTAAAACGTAACCTATCTTATCACTGTTTTAATTCCATGAATCCTTTATTACCTCTAAAATTATCACACAATTTCACACTATTTCCTTATCTCAATGTAAAATTCTATTACATATTTGGTTGTAAGCATTTGACGAGAAATCTCGACATATTATGAATTCATACTATTCTGCATCAATATTTGTTCTTGCATTTTTTGGAAGAAAATACTGAAATTCCTAAAACAAGTTACGATTAAATATGTTTTAAATGAATTAGTACTTCTTTGAAGCGATCACTTAACTTTTAACCACTCAATTATTAATTCAAATACCTAAATTTATTCTTATCAGTCAAACTACAGTATGAGCCCATAAAAGAAAGTTAGTAATAAATAGATGTAGTTTACAGTGTATTATGTGAAATGATCTATTCTAACAAATATTCTATGTAGTTTCACATTTTTATTGCTCATCAATTTTGTAAAGAAAATATAATTGTTTTACGATAATGATGATTGTATCGCAAAAATTAAACATCCTTCCATATCAATGGTAATAATCATTGGTTGTGGGTGGAAATAATTGACTACTTATTGAAATATAAACTAATCAAAATATAGGTATCATTACCAAGGTTTGATTTAATAATTTCGAATAAATTGAGCATTGGGTAAATTCTTATAAATAAATAAAATATTTATAATATCCCAATGAGTAGAAAATTAGATTGTCTGACGTTTCGTGACTTAGTCAGAACAAGTTCTGACCTGTTTTTGATTGATCAAATATTATTCTTATTGTTCCGTTGTACTATTTAAACTTGAATTAATTTTAATTTGGTTATTTATTCTCTGAAGAAGTGATTTACACTAAGTCACGAAACGTCAGAAAATCTAATTTTCTACTCATTGGGATATTACAAATGTATTATTTTCACAGATTGAAATCATGAGTCAGTTGAAGCTAGACCACCATTGAAAACCTGGAAGCACTGGACGGCCGTTCCGTCCTAGTATGGGACTCCTCAGCAGTGCGCATCCACGATCCCGCACCACGCGGGGCTCGAACCCAGGACCTACTGGCTTCGCGCGCGAGCACTTAACCATTAGACCACTGAGCCGGCATCCAACGGTGTTAATGTCTAACTTCAACCAATCCACGAAGTTGCGCCACCATGGGTTCGAGCCCCGCGTGGTGCGGGATCGTGGATGCGCACTGATGAGGAGTCCCATACTAGGACGAAATGGCCGTCCAGTGCTTCCAGGTTTTCAATGGTGGTCTAGCTTCAACTGACTCATGATTTCAATCTGTGAACATTTCTAAAAATCTCCACAAACCCCTTCCGAAAATGTATTATTTATTTATAATCAAAATATACATTATAATAATGAATAGATTAGATTGTAATATGTTAAATCTTTGTATATATCATAGATTATAGTTGTATTGATTTTAAAATAAAAATGACATTATCAATTATGATAAGTGAACAATTCAGGTTATAATGATTTGTGAACGGTTAACCTACAAAAGACAATTTGAACAAACAAAACTCTCTAATTACTAGAACAAATTGTTATTTCACTCTTTTTTTCTCCCTTTATTGATTACTATTTTGGAATAGCCCTATTCACTCATATATATATATTGTCAGTGTCCTATTTAATTACATTTATTCATTGTTACATATCTAATTAATATTATCAGAGGGTATACAAAAAAAGTGTAGTCATTTATTACTTATCAACAATTTATCATATTATCAAAGTTCATTTTGTTTAGAATTGATTAATTTACAAATCTGTTGTGTAATCAACACGTTTAATGCAAAACGTTTTTTGGTATTATTCATAAAAGTTAACATAAGTAATTAAAAAAACAGTAGGTTATATACTCTTTATGTCAAACATTTCATCAGTATGATTAATTTACAAATAAAAATTCGAATAGATGAATATTTGTCTTAATACGAATTACCGGATGACATCGATTGTTATACACTCTCAATATTATCTAAATGATAATTACGTATTTTAACAGTGGCTTTCTTAGGGAGCCACATCCGAAGTCTTTGACCTAAAGATTTGGTTAACAAGACAGTGGAGCAACGTCAGGAGATGCAGTCCCATGGTAGCCGGTGACCAACAATTGGTTCATACGCCATTGGTTTGGAATCAGGGTTTTCCAACTTCCCTGGGTGGACTCTCCGTGTCCACCAACTCGGGTAAAGCGCTGGACATTCGCTTTTCGTTCTTTCAATTTCGTAAACAACACCCCCACCACGAGAAGGCAATGAGTAGGATTTCCTGGCAGTGGTTGTATACACATGGTCATGTGAGAACATTTCAAGAGGGTGAGCAGACTCTCCTCACTCTCGAACGTACCAGGGCATTTGACGGCTTCTAAAATTCATATATTTCATATATTTAGTTCATCAAATAAAGTATTTATTAATGTGAGGATTTGAAAAAAAACCCAACTAAAAGCGTATACAATCAACTTAGGGTAGAAAAAATATGTATCTATACATGACATTCGAAAGTGAAAATACAATCTTACCTTAGTAAATTATATTAGTTATAAGCAAAGATACATTTAAAACAATTAGTCCCTTTGATAAATTTCGATAATGATATTAGAAGACGAAGATTATCAGAACTATGTGATATATTAGCGCAATACTTTTCGAACAATCTGGTCACACATATACTTGTTAAGAGCATTTATATATAAAAATAAAAGGTCAACTAGACACCCTAATGTTGAGTGAACATGTACCCAAATGGCTTCAGAAACAAATACAATCAGGTGACCCAATAAGAGCAGAGGATAAACATCCATCATCCTCTATTGCTAAACATATAATTGAAACAGGTCACAAGATTGATTTAAACTCAGCTTTCGTAGTGTTGTATAAAAGTGTAAAAGGGCGTATACTAAGGTTTATTGAAGCCTTAGCCATACGAAAATTCAAACCCCCTTTATGTGTTCAAAAACAGTTTGTTCTTACCTTAAACCTACCCTGGTAATATTGACTTATTATCCAGAGTGATTAGGTTTCAAATTGTGTTCACATTATTATTATTATTACTATTATTACTCTTATCATTATCCTTATCTCCTCTTACACTAATAAACATATGAATAGTGTTTTAATATAATTTCAGATTTTTATTGGAAAAATTCTATTTCTAATTTTATTCTTTTAAAAGTAAGTCATTGGTATGTTTTCTCTCTTAAAGATAGATTTTCAATACTTTAAATGTAGTCACAAGATATGGAAACGAAAACATGAATTTAATGTTTCCCATCTTATTTATATATTCGGTTTTTTACATGAACATGAACAAAAAGAAAATACACTTAAAACAATTAATCCCTTTGATAAATTTTGATAATCCAATGAGAAGACGAAGTTTATTAGAATTATGTGATGATATATTAGCGCATTACATTTTGAACAATCTGAACACACATATACTTGCCAACACATTTTTATATGAAAATTAAAGGTCAACTAGACAGGTTAAAGGTAAGCCAGAACAAAGAAAAAATATTAAACTACACAAGAACAATGTGATTACCACTCTCGATAATAAATCAGTATTATCCACATACTTCCCTTTATCATTTTGAAAAGAGCAAAAATAAACATTCTAGCA